CCTACCTACCTACCTACCTACCTACCTAGGCAGGGCAGCACCGTTTCAACTACAGGCGGCGGCGGTGGCGGTGGTGCTGGCGCTAGCGGTGGCGGTGGCGGCACAGATGAGGATGTCAAAGCCAGGATCAAAAAGACAGCAAGACAAGCCTTCATCAACCTGAAATCAGTGTGCAGATCTACTGCACTACACTGCACTCCACTCCACTCCACTCCACTCAGCATAAAGTGTGAACAACATACGGATTTTCAACACAAATGTCAGTCAAGTGAGTCAGTGCTTCCATGTGAGAGATGGTTGAGAGACATGGCGCCTTATGAAAAGCATTCCTAACAAACTGCAGACATTATATGTCGATAGCTGGCACCTACACTCGCTCACTCGATACTGAAGATCAGATGAGATGGGAGGAGATGAGATGAGATGGTCAGAATAATAAGAATAAGCAAGGAGGAACTCAGTGTGGCTGGCTGACTTGCCAGCTGGTTGGCAACAAACCAACCAACAACTCATCTCCCAACAAATATGCAGGAGAAAGTGTAGATGGATTGTATTGGACATACACTGAGAAGACCGATTGGTGACATCACCCCCCAGCCGGGCCCTCGAGTGTAATGCAAAGGGGAATGGACGAGTTGGTCTTCGGAGGTGATGGTGAGATGGAGGAGATGGTGTGTGAGGAAGAAATGAAAGCTTGTGTTGAGTGGTGGAGACAGGTTGTAAGGACTGTAGAGAAGAGAGTGGAATGGAGGTGTGCTACTGAAGCCTTATGTTCCACTATGAAACTAGGGACAAATAATAATAATAAAACTATTAATGTGTTTGCATGTCAACATAAACTTTACAGGCCACTGCTGTATAACAACTGGTCACCATTATACTACAGGTGAACCTTCTTACTATGGAGCCTATTGCGCGACGCTGTTATGCATGAAGCACTGGATGCTTGGTTCCACTTTTAGCAGACACAGAACAGCTCATTGGTGGGGTGGGGAGGGGGGAGGAGAGGGGCAAGCCTTCCACGTTGATGAATACCAGAAAGAGGGAAATGAACTCTGTGAATCTTATTGTTATCCACCACTGGAAAACTTACATTTACTACAGATTCTGAACAAATCAACTCGAACACTCGATGTTCATATATTGAAATACCACTCAGAATGTATCAATATCATACAGGCATTAACTTCTGAATCATTTTATTAGTAGATGAGCACACTTTTTAACTCAGTCTGCCTGACGAATAAGTGAAAAACAAAAGAAAGAATTAATCCAAAGAAAAAATTCACTGAAATAATTTAGTCAACTCATACTTTCGTTGTTGTCCACTCTTGAAGAAAACTGCTTGGAGAAAACAAACAAAGCATATATTATTGTTGTTGTTTATGAATAAGTAATTTCCATATTTTGATTGATTAGTAAATCCTGATTTATTTTTCTCTTCATCTTGGTAAACTTTGTATTAAATTTAAATGCAAATAAGAAAAGTACACACAAAGAATAGATGACCAGTAAACCGTGATCCATATAAAAGGCCTTATTTTTCTTATCTAATCTTGTGTCATTCTCTTAGTACTGTTGCCATAGTTTTCCTTCAGTATACTGTAAAGTTGACCACCTTTTGTTGTCCTATGGTTTTTATCCCCCACAGATAATTACGGTGCTCAATTTGTTTATTATTACTTCCAATGCATTTCTTTATTCATGTTGTGACAATTAGTGTACACAGTAGTTATATACATATTTCATGATACTATATCCATCTTGTCGATAATTTATTTTTGGTTGTATACGTATTTGTGTTTGTGTATGTGTGTGTGTATGTATCAGTCATGAGTAGTTAAAGAGTCTTTGGCATTCATCATAAAACTAGGGATACCTTATACTCTAATATTTCATTTATGGCTATAACCAGCACTACTGTTAAGAGAGGTGAAGGCACTCAGTGGATATAATAAATGCGCAAAGTATAATAACGCGATCCGACACTTGATTATGTTATATACTTTTTTTTCCCTTGGGTTCTTAGTGGAAAACAGGGCTTCAGTAGAACGCCTCCATTCCACTCTCTGCTCTACAGTCCTTTCAACCTGGCTCCACGACTTCCAACAATCCTTCATTTCTTCCTCACACACCATCTCCTACATGTCACCTTCACCTCCGAAGACAAACTCATCGTTTCCCATTTTGGTTTCACTCGAGGACCTGTGCTGGCACGTGATGTCCCCAGTTGGCCTTCTCAGTGTATGCCCAATCCAATCCATCTCCACTTCCTTCCAGTGCATATTTGTTGAGCAATAATTTCTTGGTTGGTTCGTCGCCAGCCGAAGTTCCTTGTTGCTTATTCTTGTTATTCTGGCTATCTGATCTTCAGTATAGAGTGAGCGAGTGTAGGTGGCAGCTGTTGATGATGTATACCTGCAGTTTGTTGGAAATGCTTTTCATAATTCGCCAAGTTTCTGAAGCATATAGTAGCACTGACTTGACGTTGGTGTTCAAAATCCAGATGTTGTTCACGCCTTTTGCTGAGTGCAGTGCAGTAGATCTCCACACTGATTTCATGTTATTGCAGGCTTGTCTCGCTGTCCTTACGATCCTGGTATTGACATCCTCGTCTGTGCCGTCACCGCCACCGCCGCCGCCGCCGCCTGTAGTTTAAACGATGCTGCCCTGCCTAGGTAGGTGGGTGGGTGAAAGAGACAACTTCCTTTATGTTTGTCTCGTTGATGATGATTGGAGCAAGTTGTTGTTGGTTGAGTTGGGTTGGATATCTTCATCATCTCTGTCTTCTCTAGGTTCACCTAAAGGAGGTTTTGTCTTCACTCGCCCACCCCTTCTGTCAACTTGTTGGTTTTCGCCTGTAGATCTTTGAGCTTGTACGACATGAGACATGAATCGTTGGTGAAATCCAAATGTTCTGGGGTGTTTACATCGATCCGGCCAACATATGCTCATCTTCTCGCTCCTCACGGTTCGCTGCATGATCCAGTCTGCCACAATCGATTAGACACTTGAACTTCATACGAACAGCTATTTTTCTCCCTTAGAACCCTATATTTCACTGAGCTGTGAAAATGAGAAGAAAAAGAGTGACCTGTGACTCTAAGGAAAACTTATTCGACAAAAATTTATTATTCACAAGCAGTTTTCATGAATATATAAATCCGCTGAGTCAGAAGTTGGATAGTTATTTTGGCTGGTCAACTGCTGGACAAATTTATTCAATACGTTTTTTTCTTGACCGCACCGTAACATGACAAAATAGTTGAAATCCAAAACGTTTACCTTACCGGCCGATAACTTAGAATGCCAATTTGGATTTAGGCCGCTTTTTAACATGAAGGATAAACTTAAAAAGGAAATGGTTTATACTCCTGCGGTATATATCAAAACTACACTTCGGTAAAATATCAAGGGCTGGTGTTAGTTGAGTTGGATGGATGGACTGATGGACTGATGTTGTCATCTTTTACTCATATCCTCCAAAGTCTATAACTGATATGAAATGTAAATAATGTTGTTTACTTTATGGAAGATTTTGTGCACAGATCACATTAATAACCAGTAAATCTATGGCATAACGCAGATTTACTTGGGGTCATTTTTAATCGTTTTATCTTTGTTTAGAAAACCTCTACAGTTAGCAGTGGTATTATTTTAAAATCTTCTTTCACATTTACTCCCAAAAATTACTGGCACAGTAGACCTTATTGAGATAATGAAGAATATTTGTAGATAAGGAGGATAATTTTTATGGTGTTGTGTTTTAGAATGACAATGAAAGCTTTACGATTAGACTCTCCTTTTCAGAGAACACAACATCATCAAAACAAGTTATGCTTATTAATTTGTGGAAAAGCTTCTGGAAGTATTTAAAGGTTATTTTTCGAAAACTTCCCTTCTTGATGACCTTTGTATAACTGGAGCATGTTTTGATGCAATTAATGTCACACGAACTTGATGATTTACAGGCGAAATACAACAAATTAACAGAAGAGGCAGGGCAGCGAAGACGGGACTTCAAGTGAACGTAAAGAAGACAGAGGTGACGATGATACCCAATCAACACTACCAACAACAAGCTCCAATCACTATCAACGGGCGAAATCTGAACGAAGTAGTCTCTTTCACCTAACTAGATAGTATCGTCTCAACTACAGGCGGTGGCACAGACGAGGATGTCAATACCAGGATCGGAAAAGCAAGACAGGTTTTCACTCATCTGAAATCAGTGTGGAGATCTACTGCACTTAGCATAAAGTGTGAACAACATCTGGATTTTGAACACCAACGTCAAGTCAGTGCTACTATATGCTTCAGAAACTTGGCGAATTATGAAAAGCATTTCCAACAAACTGCAGGTATACATCATCAACAGCTGCCACCTACACTCGCTCACTCTATACTGAAGATCAGATAGCCAGAATAACAAGAATAAGCAACAAGGAACTTCGGCTGGCGACGAACCAACCAAGAAATTATTGCTCAACAAATATGCACTGGAAGGAAGTGGAGATGGATTGGATTGGGCATACACTGAGAAGGCCAACTGGGGACATCACGTGCCAGCACAGGTCCTCGAGTGAAACCAAAATGGGAAACGATGAGTTTGTCTTCGGAGGTGAAGGTGACATGTAGGAGATGGTGTGTGAGGAAGAAATGAAGGATTGTTGGAAGTCGTGGAGCCAGGTTGAAAGGACTGTAGAGCAGAGAGTGGAATGGAGGCGTTCTACTGAAGCCCCGTTTTCCACTAAGAACCTAAGGGACAAACAATATAATATATTGATATAAATTCACATCAAATTAAATCTCATTCGAAACCTAGAAGTTGACACTGACGATAGTGCTTACGGCGTTCACTAAACATCTGCCAGTCCAGTCCCTGGTTTGTAGAAGGCAAGTAAAACGAAATGTAACAATTACCAATAAACAACTAAGATGCACAAAAACTCCAAGGTTTTATTGTTTCTAACTTTTGGTTTATTTTATATTATTTATAGAAAACTTCAAATTGAACTGAAGCGTACGGAACAGGATGTTAGAAGGCGTGTTTCCTTATCGAATCAAGATGTAACAAAACAGGTAAACAACTGCACATTATGCGAACAGACTCCGTCACCAATTTGTCAACGCGGAAATGAACAGTCTAGCTTAGAATGGAGAGTATGCCAAGATTGTCAAAATTCTTTCTGTCCTAATTGCATTGTACAAATTGGCAAAAGCTTAGACACTGTAAGTTGATACCATTTACTATGATTCAACTTCGATTTGCTTATAGTTGTCCGTAATTTATCTCCCGTTTGGAAGGTCTCAGTATGTCGGAAAACTAAATATCGTCAGTTACTGTGATCAAAAGTTGTTTTGAATTGACAAACTGAAGATTTGTAGCTAGTATCACCGTATATTCATCACAAGAACGCATTCGTTGACACGGTCATTGAAGATCTTGCAGTATTATGCCAATGTTTCTACTGCCTACCAGTAAACAAAAATACTCATAGTATGGCATGTCATTCAAGGTCAGATAATAATTTGTACTACGTATCGCTAGGGGTGAAAGTACTGTTCTCAAGGTCATGAAAACTTTCGTTAGCAACCTTCAGGGGGTCCAACTAAATGGAACATATAGCTAGGTACTAGGCCAGATCGTTTATATTTGTCTAGTCCAAGTGGAAGGCTGATTTATTTATAGGGTAGTTAGTCCGCAGTCATATGACTGCGGAAAACAACAGTCTATGGCTTAGGTGTTGTTGGGAATCTTATCTTTGTCGTCAGATACCCCCAGTCACTAATCAAATGACCTTTGGCTTGTTTGTTGTTGTGATGCAGCGTTTTTTCATCCAACCACATTAGTATCGATAAAAATTAGTTTTTCTATACTGTTTCTTATTACAGTATCCGGTCAATAACCAGTGGATGCCAATTGTTCAGGAAGTATTTTTTTAAATCAGACATGAACAGATCTAAGTACTACTAATTAGAATGTTTATTTTCTAGGGAAGATCAGCGCTCAACAACACTTCAGGTAATCTGCCTTTCTGAGGTCTGAAGGTTATCTATAAGACAGAAACTAGAAAGTTGGGTTCAGCTCTGAGAGAGACATGTAGGTTACGTTACTAAAAGCCGTCTACTCAAACTAATGAAGTGATTTAAGGCAGTAAGATGACTTGCAGTGAGATCAAACAGTAGTTTGCCTAACACGTGGCGAGTGTCGCCGCTTCCAATTAACTTCATTCCGAGTTCATGGGAATGAACGACTTTGTTTATGCTTAATCTCCTAGGAATGGGTCTTCTATAAAGAAACAGCCGGACAAACCTAGAATATGAAAGTGACCGCTAGGTGGAGTAGTTACTAATTTGTAGGTTCGATTGAAAGCTATGAGGAAAAACCTTGAGGATGCAAACATTCCTTCGGTGTCTATTAAATGTAAAGCAGTAGTGTTACATCAACCCGTAATGCCTATTAGTTGAACGATTTTGGTTAACACAAGGTGATATCAGTTTGACTATCTGTGATTTGGCAGACTTGTGTTGATATTTGGGAATGGGTTAAGTTGAAGTGAAAATCTGGCCCATGGTGGTAGTATTTGAACCAGCGACCTGCGGATGAACACGACGATTGGATAGTAACGCATCACGTATTCATATGTTAGTCGGGTGGAACGCATGATGACTGAAGTAAAATTAAGATCCGGTCAGCAGCTGAGTTTCTTAGCTCAGTTAGAAGAGCACCACACTAATAGCCCAGAGACTAACAATTCGACTACTGCCTCTGCCCTGATTTCATTTCACTTCCAATCATCACTTAGTACTAACAAGGTAATGGCCAATTTACCTGACTAATTATAACAGTTTCATTATCCTTGTTAGTTGGGGTTGTGATGAATCAAAAGAATGGATATAGAAGGTTTGTCCGACATCCCTTGACCAACACTGTTTACACTGTCTGTGAGATATCCAAGTTTATAGAAGAAAACAGATATCTAGTGTGGCTGTTCAGTCTTTTATAAAGATGTATATCAAGGCCGTCAAAAGCGAAAGACGCTGAGTTACGTGAAACTGAATCTGGTTTCCTATGAACCGTTTCGCGTATGTGGTTGAATAGTCAAGTAAACAATTTTAAGGTTGATGATTATCCTTTTCAACCCAATCAGTTAGCTAATTTGTCAGCACCGAGTTAGATAATACAGGTTTACGCAAATTATGCCTCATTTAGTCCTGATGTGGAAAAGCCAGCTTAATAGGGACTAGGTTGGATGAAAGTTACAGACTTCCAGCCAGGAAATCGCGACAATTACAGAAGAACCTAACCGCCAATGTCAGTCACGCATGGTCACACAGCCAATATGACATCAAACTCCGACTGAAAATCAGTCAATATAACACAAATGCATTCAGCTTTCTTCTCCTTCTAGAAATTCAACTCATACTTGTTAATGTTTGTTTCCTTGGGTTGACCTTCGAATCTTTAGAGTTGTGACAATATAGACGGAAGATCCTTGAATAGTTCAATACAACTGTTATAAACATGTTGTGTCAACTAAGTATTTCTTTAAACGATAAGTGCCTATGACAACTTCTACATATCTGCGGTGTGTAGATGGATAATAGTTAAGTATAGTCTAAGCCTGTGCAATGTGGTAGTAGATGTCATAAAAAAGAGATATATGTCACATCTCAGTCAACTCACTGTTAGCTTTTCAGACAGAGATGATGCTTGATGTAAGCTAAACTCTCTGATTTGACATCATTTTCCTCAAAGTTCCAGATATCCCTTATTTAAGAGTGCCAAAAAGCATCAAGTGGTGATCTAAGACTTTCTTTCAACTTCCTTAAACTACTAGACATAAAAATTCATACCACGATTGAAAACCTCTCATTATGATGATCGCGGTGCAAGCTTGGTCAAGAGCTTTCCTTCTATTTACTGAGAGAACACAATACCACTAGAATTAAACTTTTCAGGCATGGAAGACGCCTAGTAGGCATCCATTCCATATTGACTGAAGGGTTTGAGAAGACTGAAAAAGTGAAAAATGAGCAGCTAGCTATATTTGTAGTAAGGAAAGCATTTCCTATAAGATAATATCTGTTATCAGTAGATTTCAACAGTACAGGGGTGTGTATGCGAAATAAGAAATTTCACAAGGTAAATTTCGGAAGACTTTACATAGACACATTCATACAGGCATCTACATCAACTAATCATTCTATATGTATTGACATTTTCTCTTTTTGGGAGTAAACAATGACAGACTATTTAATACTCTAATAGAGGAAAGAGGTGAACTAAATCATGCATTTATTATTGATTTTCAACAAGACATTATTCTATGTATAGTAATGATGGGCAATGGCCAGCAGTGGGATCCAGGATGCGCATTTCGTCCTATTTGGGACTTGTCAGCTGGATGTACCTGCTTCCCAGTGAGTGATGTTGTTCCCACCGCGACTCGGACTTGGGAGCGATCGCTTCAAACACCAGAGCGTTATCCACTACACCACCGAGCCTGTCATTACTATACATAGTTAAAAGACAGACAATATCGAGGCATCCGCATAGGAGCCCATATACCAACAGAGACTGATCAATTCGGTCCAATCAACGACGGTGTAATACAAGCAATAACACTAAAACATTATTCTGCTAATATGATACACACTACTGAAAGGTAATTAAAGTAATAAAGAAACGAATTATTCATAAAAGTTCTACATAAAGGAAGGATGATGTATTATTTTGTAAATAAACACAAGCCATTTTTAAAAAGATGATGATTGTGGTGGGGAACTGAATTTCTGGAGACATAGTGTTGGAGTTATGAAACCTACAGTCGAAGGTGGGTCATGAAATCCTCTGTACATTAGATCTGTCAAATTCGGTAGAGCGAACTCTGAAAGTATATTTATGTAGGAAATAAATAACCATTGATTAACTTGGTTGTGTTGCATTATCTCAGCTGGGTTGTTGTTTCATTTTTTGCATAAATTTTCCTGCTGGGTGTTTCTCCGCTTGCATTCTGACTGTGTAGTCTATTATTTTTCCTAATAGTTGTTAGATTGGGTTTATGTCTATACATCCATTGGTTGCTGACTGAAATGAATTCCAGGCTACAAGGAATTCTATAATATTATTTGTGTTCCTTGTGTTCAAGATGTCTTCACTTTCCAGGTTGAATTCGTCTCCATAGTTGTCCACGCTCATTGATGTGAGCGGCGAAATGTCGTTATTGTTGTCTACGTAAACAACGTCGAAAAAGGCAACCACTTTTTTAATGTAGTGTAGATCGCAGTTGTTGCATTTGATTTTGTAAACAATATTCGGTTTCATTTCTATGGGTATTGCATCTTTTGGTCTGCAAAATATGGTTCGCAGTAGAGTTTTGGTTTATTAACCACACCAATTCCGAACGGTTTCAGTATTCTTCTAGCGATCTCTGGTATTTTCTTTATTTATGGTAGGGTGATCCGTCCTCTGATTTCTGTCCATGATTTGTGGAATAGACATTTTCGGATGAAGTTACTGGATTTATCGTTCCTCATTAAGCCAAAAATGAAATAGTTTTCTTTGTTTCTACACGAAGTTGGTGTACTCCTGCGTGTTCTTGCTGTTCTGAATAAAGTCTGTACCTAGCTAATTGTGTACTTCATTGGGTTGTTGCTAATGTAGTAGAAGATCTGATCAGTGTGTTCTGACTTTCTGTACTCATAAGTTTCCAACTTTCCGGCATGGGTTCGACTGACTTGGATATACAGGAATGGCTTTCCTGCTCGACTCCTTCTCCACCGTGAATTGGATATCGTATAAAACGTTGTCGATCAAGTTGCAGGTATTTTCTAACTCATCCTCGCTGGTGATAACAAAAGCCTCGTTCAGATAGTGTATCTCATTTCCGGTTAATCACAAGTAAAATGGTGGCTTCCAGTCTCTAAATTACTACTTCTATGGTTATTCCAAATATTGGTGATCCCACCGCAGAGCCTTTCATTTGTTCTTACATCCTTGAGTAAATCCTCTGCATTTTTGTTGCATTCTTGGATTGACTTGCCACTAGAAAGCAACCATATTATCTAGTCGTGAGTGCAGACCGAATCCAATCATTCATTCTGCAATGGGGCCACCAGGCTAGGAAACTCATCATCATGGTACACTTTTATGGATGATAGTTGGTTGAAGGAAAGCGACAGGAGGCTCTGGACCTAGAGTTTTTGCTTGTTGGCACTCGTCAGGA